AACCTGCAAAGGAATTCACGCCGGCACCATTCGTGAATGAGCCAACCGCCGAACCTGCCACTCTCACATCTGCCGAGAAGACCACGAAGGAACCCTTGACAGCTCCAGTGACGCCGTGTCCTGTGGATGAGCATACGACGGCACCTGTAACACCGGAATCCACCACCATGGCGCCTTTGACACCCGAATCACCCTACACAGCACCTACACCAGAAATTCCTGAGAAGGCGGAAACTACAAAGAAATTCAAGCCGGCACCAATCTTGAAAGAGCCAACAGCAGAACCTGCCACTCCCAAACTTGCTGAGGAGACCACGAAGGAGCTCTTGACAGTACCAACGACGCCGTGTCCCGTGGATGAGCATACGACGGCACCTGTAACACAGGAATCCACCACCATGGCGCCTTTGACACCATCCACGGCACCTAATGTAAAAGAGCCCTTGTCAGCACCTACATCGGAAAGTCCTGAGAAGGCAAAACCTACAGAGGGATTCACGCCGGCACCAATCGTGAAAGAACCAACCGCAGAACCTGCCGCTCCCAAACCTGCTGAGGAGACCACAAAAGAGCCCTTGACAGCACCAGCGACGCCGTGCCCCGTGGATGAGCCTACGATAGACCCTGTAGCACCAGAATTCACCAGGCCTATGACACCCGAATCACCCTCCACAGCACTTAATGTACAAGAGCCCTCTTCAGTACCTACCCTGAATGAGTCTTTGACGGCATTAATAACCAGCGCGGAGTCTACATCAAAGCTTGCAACAGCACTTTTGACGCCAGAGTCAACGGAGGGACTTGCAACGCCTTGTCCGTCGGAGAATTTTACGCCGACACCTTTGAGGGAGCCCAATAAGGAGAACACAACTGCGTCTGCAATGCATGAGTTGCAAGAGGAAGTCACTTCGGCATCAATTTAGCAAGAAACCACCCATGATGGCATCAACTATGGAAATTTTTCCAGAACTAGTTCTTGCTACGACCCACCGCGTTCTGTACAACCAAGGGATTCAGGGGCAATAACAATAAATCGAGCCAATTATGGAGTTTACCGATCATTCGCAGATATGGAACATGCACTATCCAACCGCTTCCTTGCCGATTAATGCAAAATTAATTGCCAATGCAATTTGTAGTGCCGTAGCTGACCAAAAAATTTAAAAACGCTTAAAGTGACTCATTGCCTATTGACTTCTGACAATTTGAATGCTTTAAGTTGATTCACTGATCTAGACTTTTAATACTCAAATTTGGTGAGTTGTGATTAATATATTTTTTCTTTGACTATAGATATTACAGAAATGTTCAAATACCGATCAATAATTGCAATTCGCCAATATCTTGAGCACTCCAACTCTTCATGTTTCTTCCTCTGCTACTAACACTCTCGACCTTGCTGCATTTTTTTCATGATATTGCAGCAGAAAATCTCAACAATATTCGACAAATAAACAATGCGCACTCGATGCATTGGGTGCGAGGATCCCGTGCGGCGCCAGAGCTAGAACTGACATTACGTGTGGCTTTATATCCACAAAAGAGTGATGGTCAACTCAATGATCTTGTTCTTGCTGTGACAGACCCTGTGTCACCTCTTTACGGACAATATTTGACGAGCCCAGAGCAACTTCAAAAACATTTTGAGCCATCAAACACGAGCCTTCAGAGTTTTCTGCATGTGCTCCGAGACGTGAAAGAAGTGGAAGCTGTGTCAATGGATATTGTTCAGGATTTCTGGCATCTTAAACTCTCTACAGCCACAGCTGAGCGTCTTTTTAGTACCGAAATGTTCCACTATACTCATCGACAGTCCTCAAATATGTCGATTATACGTCCCCATGGAAATTTTAGTGTCCCAAATGAGCTTGAAGCAATTGTTGCATACGTTGATGGACTTGAAAGTTTTCCAACTGAAATGCAAGCAAAATTCATGCAAAAAAGGGTAAATAATGCCAATGATCCTTTTTTGATCAAACATGAACCATTTGTTACCGAATTTCAACAGTTTGCAACACCCGCTATCATTCGTCAACAATATGATATTCCCGAAACAAATTTTGACAATGTGTCAAATAATTCAGCAAGTGGAAAATCTCAAAATTATCGCACAAAACTTGTTGTGGGAACATTTTTACATGAATATTACAATGAACATGATTTGCTTGAATTCTTAGAGACAATCGACGGTCAACATGAACCAATAAAGTTGCCACGTACTAATGGTCAATGTACTTCTATGTATCCGACTGGAGAAGCATCATTGGATATTCAAATTGCAGCATCTCTTACAAGTCATAAAGATGGTGATGCTTCTAAAATTGAAATGGTATGTTACACGCAATTACGTGATTCGAAACGCAAGTTTGCAGCAGACAATCAAGAACCGTTTTTGACATTTTTACGGCATGTAAATGCGATGAATCCTCCACCAACTGTAGTTTCAATTAGTTACTCGGATGATGAATGTAGTATACCCATTGCATACGCAACGATTGTAAATCGGGAATTGATGAAAGCAGCACTTCGTGGTATTTCTGTTCTCGTATCTACTGGTGACAATGGTGTGCGAGGAAGTCAATTGGCACAAAAGTTTTGCAATATTACAAGCTGCAATCACTTTATGACGATGTTTCCAGCATCGTCTCCATATGTTACTGCAGTTGGAGCAACAACACTTGCTATCGAATCGAAAAGTAGTAACAAGTGGAAAGAAACAGTGACTTCTACTAGTGACCCAAGTGCACTTATCACTTCAGGTGGTGGTTTTAGTGATCTCTTTGACATGCCTGTGTATCAGCACAAAGCAGTAACCTCCTATTTGACACTTGCAAACTCAACTGGACTTTCACCATTCTTTCGAATTACTGGAAGAGCGTTGCCTGATGTAGCGGCTGTAGGTCATGCTTTTCCTGTGGTTATCAATGGAAAAGTTAACGCAATGGATGGCACGTCAGTGTCCGCTCCTGTCTTTGCGTCGATGATATTATTGCTCAATCAAGCATTGCCTCAATTACCACCACTTGGATTTTTAAATCCACTTTTCTATCGATTGTATGATGTATGTCCACAAGTTTTCGCAGATATAACACAAGGAAATATTGCATGTGGCTCCAAAGGAATGACTTGCTGCAAGAGAGGACATAGTGCCACAACGGGATGGGACGCAGCCTCAGGACTTGGAACACTTCAATTCTCTAGAATGCTGACGGATCTACCAAATTGTTTGACTCGGATCAAATCTGCAAGTGATTTAAAGATGACGGAACAACTTGCAGATATGTTACGAGATGCAGAATCTGATCACATTTATGAGAAGAAATGGACACCTGGAGAACAACGTGCGACTCAAATCATAGGTATCATTAGTCTTATCGGCGCAATCTGCTTAACTGCTCTTTTTGTTTCTCTGCGTAAACAACTCTATCTCGGCTCTAATGATCTTCATACACCAGTGTCAAAACGGTATGGATCGTGTACTCAAAACGATTCAGCTCGTGAATACCTGCTTTCCTCATAATTTGAAAACATCAAGAAGTAGATTCTATGTCGCGAAGGTTTCTTACGACATATTCTCCGTGATCTAAGTCAATCAATTGAATCTTTCCGAACACACTAGTATATTTCGCCCTCACATCGATAAATTTCTAAGCTTTTAATATCTTGTCAACAGAATTTTATTGCTGTAGCATCAGGTCGTGGAATTAAGTCACAGCAAGTCATGACTTTCTTTCACCGATGCACATTCGATAGGCTAGACAGTTTAAGTGAATCAAGATGAAATAATCATGCTCATACTTACATCGAACGATAAAGTTGGGAAGCTCTAGAGAAAAGAATGTTCATTCACCTTAACATCTGATAAGGCAGGTTTCAAATTTCAAGGATACTTTGCACCAGTTTGAAGGCATGAAGCCCATCACTGTGCGATGAGAGATAGAACTCAAGTTAATGTACCTTACTATTGTATCGCACACTCGATAAACAAGATTTAAAGTCAAACTTGTAGCTAAGACAATGCCACTTCACGAAAGAAGCCACCATCCATGAGTTTACAACCACTTCACCGCATAGCAACTTTGCAAGTACTCACTTTAGTGAAACCTCAATGTACAATACATAAAGACGGGTCTTGATAGGTAGCGCCAGTAATCTCCACGAGATGGTCGCTTTCGAGCACGAATGACACACCCGGACAATTGATCTGACGTCTTTTGACCCTTAAATCTCGCTATTGATGCACGTCGTTCAAACTTAATGTCGTCATCCTCGCACTCTTTTGACTCGAGGTCTGACGCCTTTGGAGTAATCGACAGATTTGTTTTCAAGGCTTGGCTTCTAGCAAGTATAATGCTTTCTTGCCCAATATTCATAAATCAGCTACGTATTGCGGTGTCCTGAAACTTTATTATCTACGCGTCATACAGCTTTCGTAGGTCGGTATCATGTACTTGATGTTGACAAAAGCGTCTGCACCACCGTGTCTTTCAAAAATATTGAGCGTTTCGAGAATCAGATCCCCAATATTCTCTTGCCGTCGCTGAGCATAGTCAATCGAGTCACCACAATTGACTCGTTTTGTAATAAAGAGATTGAAGACTGATAAAAGCTGTCGGTAATACGGCACTAAAGCTTCACCTGTGTACGGACAGCACAAAACAAGTCGCTGCAAGACTTTCATTTGTAGACAAAGTACTGTCTGGTTACGTGTCACGAGATTTGCCTTAATTGGCGATATTAAATGTGGTAAACATGGCAACACACGATTTCCACCCTTCTCCACCATGTCCAAGGTGCCGTTAAGCGCTAAGAAGTGATAAGGTTCTTGTAAATCGCGTAATCCTTCCATAAATATTGGAAGATAGTGTGAATAGTCAAGTTGAGATAATTCCACTTGCCATTGAAGCTTTCGCACTGCACCGGCAAAATTAATTCGTACTGGAAGATCACCCCGATCATCTACAATAGAATCACGAATATCATCAGAATTCTCAAAGCTATCTGCTCTTACAAAATCAATCGTACAAAAGTTTCGAAAGCGGGTGGGCTCTAACTTGCGAGGTCTGAAAGCACCAGCTGATTGAGGTCGAATAATTGGTGCTAGTGGTGCAGGTCGAGTAAGTGTTGTAAGACTTGGAGACGATGAAAGCGTCCCAGACGTCAGTTTTGCCATGTGTCGTGCATGATGAACGGAATTTCGAGAGTTGGCTACCTCATTGTTCCTCGTTTTCCCTCTTGCAATAGACACGAGTGAACGATTGTTTGAGGTCTTATGCATTTTAAGCTCTGATCTTAGAGATGATGTGCTGATACCATTCGTTAACATGTTTCCTAATCTCTCGATGTAGTATTTCAGAAGCCTAAATAGAAATGATAAGACATACAATAATTGACGAATTTTGTTTTAGACCTCACACTCTTATCCACAGCCTGAAATAGGAATCCAAAAAAATACGAGATCGACTGTTGGGGTTAGTTAACAAGCACATCATGAGGATCTTTAAGATTATAATATATGTTCTCGATTCTTTCAATTTTTAAACGGAAAAACATGTCGTGTCTTTGATAAAAGTGCTTTCCATCCAGCGCCAATAGTTCAGGTGGTGTGGTCGTCCATTATTAGATGTTGATGCTCTATCAGCTTACAAGCAGCAGACAAAAAAACTTAGATATCCGCGGACCTTACGAAAACGACGAAGTGATACTATTGAAGGCACGTATCTTTGAGGGTTGAATGTAGTGTGCATGCGCACAAACTTAAAGTTTTCAGTATATGAGTGCGTAGAGATTAGATCTAAAATGTGGTAGGCTCAAGACGAATTACATAATTTTGTGATTCTGACGCCTGCTATTCAAGGAGCCGCAAACAATAATTCGAACAAGTTTTCCTATAACCGAGGGCTAACGAGAACTTTTCATCCCTAAATTATGTCAGATCGGAAAGCACTTTGTTTCAAGTTTTTTTTTAATTAAGAGCAGCGAGTGCTGAAAAGTTCATGAGGATGTGATCTTTTAATGTTCTGAGAATATCTAATGCGTAATCGAAGTTTCTTGCGATTCGATTTTTTATTCATAAACGATAAACGTGTGTACGGTCCTATGACAAGGTCCTATGAGTGGTTCGAGACTTGAAAATTCACATCACATCTAAGTCACTCTGGCATGCCATTTAAAATGGATGAGATTGATCCTCGCCTGCCATTTCGGTGAGTTGTTGTGGACGGCCTCACGCTTGTCGAACATCCGCCTATACTTACGTCCCTTGAACGTCCATAACGACGATCGCCACGAAGTCGTCGTCCTGGTACACTCTGGCTCTGTAAGCGACAAATCGAAGGCAGATCGTCTTGCCAACAAATTTTGATGGGCGGCGGTTGGTGTGCATGGAGTCCAAACGTCTGTTTGCGCTTTTTCGATCGAAATGTCTCGCGAATTGCCTCCTTCTCAACACTTTTTACTCCGACAATTGCATTCGAGTCTGCATCAATCGCGTTCTCGTTTTGGCTTTTGACGTTAGTATGATTCTCAATACTTTCGTTTTGAACGTCAATCTTAGTTTCCACCATTTCATTCGGATTTGGAAAAATATCCAATACGTCTCCAGCATTAAATTGTCCCGTGTCCATTGACATTTTCGAGTCGGACTGAGATTTTCGGCTTTTTTCGTTTGGATTTTGAATCACACTCGATAATTCCTCACGCAATGTGGCAATTTGTCCGTGAAATCGTTTGCACTCTGCACCTGCAGCGTTGCTTGCTAGCACTTGTAGCGATGTAATTCGATTGACAAGACTACGAATTCTTCGATGTGGCCATCGAATGAGGCCATTGCGACGGCAAATTTTCTTCATTAATGTGATACAAACACCTAATTCCTTGGCCACGACTGCCATGGGTTTATTAAAATGTGGCCGTAATTCGTTCAATGTTAGAGATTTGACGTCCACTACACCATTTCCATGTGGCATGGGTAAAATTTGTTGCTTTATCGGACTGCCACTTGGAGCTAGAAATAAAGTCGGATCACCTGAAATTAACGAATCATTGAGATTCCCATTCGAAGGTGTTGTAGCGTAGTTTCCACTCGAGACATTTAATGGTTGATGCATCATCATTTGATGTGGACTAAGAGTCAATGAACCTCCCGACATGTATAAGGACGAAAAACTCGAACCATGAAGTGGAGACATTTGAAGTGGCAATTGGTCCAGTTGCAATTGCAACGGTTGCTGGTGCATTTGCATGTACGGGGCACTAAGACCCGTCCCATTAATTAACGGGTCTATCTGATGCGTGGGTTGAGTTAAAAGCGCGTACATGTTTTGTGGCCCCTCGTATGACCAAGCATCAGATATCAATCGAGAGTCAAAATTCAGATCTTTCATGACGGTTGGAGATACGGGTGATACCGAATCGCAGCTTATGCTCGGTACTGGAAGACCATCGCTAGGTTTCGAAAAGACCGATTCGTCAAGTGTGACGCCCATATTACGAACAACAGCAAGCGATGTCTCGACTTTAAGACTAGAGCCTCCAGGTGTTGTTGGCTTTATTCGTTGAACATTCGACTCAGGCCACATTAAGACGGACTTTGAGATGTCAATAGGTGCAAATGGTTTATTCTCGTCCATACTGGATAACAAAGACAAAGACGCCGATGAGTCCGTGCCGACGCGACTCTCAGACTCTGAAACGGTCAATTCAGGGGTGCGTTGCTGCTCCATCTCGACTGCCATTACGTCAAGATTTGATCTTGCAATAAGCAATGGAACGGCAAACGTTCATCAGCCGCGACGCGCAAAAATATCGAAGAAATCTTTCTGGCGCAAGTTTCGCGATTTTAAGGGTACTATCGTCAGCAGTTACGCATACAACTGACCCAATCAGGCGAAAGATGGGTATGAAAGACTACTTTTCAGATTTTTCTTCATCCATCTGGGTGTCATTTATGTGTCATTTCGCAGGCGACTCTTCAAGTACCTCTGCGCTAATTTTGTACCTAGTTACACTGGTTAGGGTGTGTACAGTGCAACCTCCCAGGTCACGTTCATAAATTGGACATCATTTGCCTGTCCTCCGAGATGTATAATGTACGTGTATACACAATATGATGGTAGCAAAGGTCATTATCATACCTCACTTTCGACTTTTTTTTTCTCAAACTGAATACTCTAAGAGCATCATTCCTTTGGTAGTAGTCTATGCCACTAATGCGATTCCACATATAATTACTATCTTGATACGTACCCCTTTTTTAAGTAACTTATGATTGAGACGGCGCGGCTTCGGTGATCTACAAATAATCTGAAAGTTGAGCCATTTCAACTCAATTCGACGTGACTTTAAGTCACAAAGAACTCGGTAACAAAAGATTCTGAATGTGTTAAGCTTACAGATGCAATAATCTTTGCTGCTAAAATTCACACCTTGATAATTGCTATCCAGAGTTTTCCAAGTCTTCTATCAGATATGCCAATACAGTGGTACAATTGTTCAGTGAAGCCATCCATTTTGACTTGGACGCGAAGTCATTCGTGCACACAAGACCAGAATTTGATGTAAAATATGATTTTAACCACTGGCAACAGTTCAGCAAATGACGCATTTCCCACCTCTAATTTGCTTGAAAATTACTGAAATATCAGTAGTTTTTTCTACAAAATCGTTAAACGAGTTCTTTGTTGGTGAGATCAACGGATAGCAATCTCTTCACTTGCTTTCTCCGTATTCATTTTAGTGATCCCATATATCTCCGCAAACGAATTGATGGCCATTTCACCTCAACTTCATCATCAACCTGCCTGCTTCAAATTCTTCAAAATTCATGTCCTTCATAGCAAAGTCAATGTAACTTCTTCACTCCTGTTCAGCAACACATATTCAATTACCCAATCGCTTCATCCATCGGGTTTCAACTCATAATAAATGATTGAGCTGTCTGTGTCGTCTGAAGAACTCGGTCGATGGAACAGACAGCCTGAACAAGCTCAGACAAGAACAATCTCATGGTTTGTTCGTATTCGTAACACTTTGAATCGATACTCGCCTTTGATTCCTCCTACAATCTTGCTCATTACCTTGGTAGTGGTACTTGTGCAAACCCGTACAAATGATGCTGACTCATCAGTAGATTCAAACGGATTATTATTACTTAAGTTGGAATGGAGTACACAAGACAACGGTTCAATACATTGTGCGAATGTGACGCTTTTGTTCTGTACTGAGGAGTTCTGTAAGACCGAATATGTCACCGATGTCGAAACGGTAGCAATTCAGCGCAGTCCAACAATAACAACAAATGACACAGGCTTTTTCATCGACTACACTCTCGATCTGCGTGTTGGTAACGATACTTTATCTTCATTATGCAACGTTTCCGATGGTTTTCCACTCGAGTCTACTTTATATGCTCGAAAAATTGGTATTTTGAATCTTCATGTCGTTCAAGCCTTTCATCATCAGCCAACGGAAATGGAATATTACAACTCTAGTGCTTCTTCGTTTGCTAATGCAAGTTCTGTTTTACTTGAAATCAGCGCTTCTGAAGAGTTTGATGTTGTGGTTGTGGTAAATAACTCGTTAATTACCAATTCCAAAGCGAGGTTTGTCGTCTTCATGATAAACAATGATCTTCACTCGGCTTTATCATCAAATGGCACTGCGTGTGCTTACCTACGAAGTGGCGGTAATGTATCGACTTACAACACGTCTGTTGTATCAGAACCAAGTCTCGTCATTTCTCAAGACAAAAGTCTACTCATTTTTCATATAGAAGATGCTGACGACGGGATGTTCAATAATAGCACCACCGATGGTGATGATGCGTCCAATAGTTCGGATTCATCGACATTAGATAAACTTGGCCGCCGCATTTTGGCTCTTGAAAGCTCACGAAGTCGCTACAAAAAAGCACTTATCATTGTGCTGAGTGTGTTTGGAATCACATCGTTCCTAGGTGCAGTTTTGTTCATTTACCAGCAGCGTCGAAAGCAGCAATTCATCGAAGAAGAAATGATGTTAAGAAATATGCGTGGTGATCACGATAATGAGCTCGAGCTCATGCATACTATTTACTTGCTTTCATCTAGCTCTCATAGCTACGAAGGATCTGTAGAGATATAAAAGATTTAGCATGTTGTAGGAACAAGATAAAAAGTTAATGTAAGTAGGAAGTACAAGTAACCACACTTGGGAGTTGTATTATATGATTGTCTTTGTAATTCCTTTATGATGAGAATTAGTTTTGATGAGGCTAGAACACATGGCAGCACCTTGAGCTGCTTCTAACTTGTACTTTACTTAAGTGCAACAAGCTGTACTCGTTCTGTCTATCGCAGTGTGGTACGAGAAGTTCATCCTCTAAGTCTCTATATGTATACTTTTGATAACACCTTCGATGCAAGTGTAGTATATTTTGTCTCCATTCTCTGCCGTAATTTTTTGCATGCATATATCCATAATTGATGTCTGTTCGACAAATATAAATATCAAATTCATGCGCTTTACTATCTCTCATAATTATACGTATTTTTATTCTGACGTTACCTCTTTTCTGAGTTCCGCATCCTATATAAATACCGAAACTTTGATGAATGTTCACAATTATACCACGCGCAAAAAAATAACTACCCACGAACAATCACTGCGCCTGGAGAACCACCCCCCCTTTACCATGCCGTCTCTTCAGAAAATATGCTTGCACTGTGGGTCCGCTACTGTGCAACGAGTATAATGGCTTAAATATCCTTCGCCAAAAAGCGTGATCTTCGCGACCAAAGCGCGGAAAGAAACTCTCGGTGATGATGGCGAAGTATTCTCCAATGAGGCGGGTCCCAAGAACTCTGCGAATCCCGATCAAGCACCTCCGCCCTCACTTGGCGACACACGGCCTAGCCGTTCCACACGGAGAAATTTCTCACTGAGCTCGAACTCCCCACCGCACGAGTCTCGGGAGCTTTGCCATTTTCCATGGGTGTGAAGCGTTTCAAAACCCCGCCGTGTAGCCCAACATAATGTCCAGCTCGCTACCAAGGAGCTGGGAGTGGATCATGGAGCCCAGCTTCTTTTACTGCTGGCACAACAGTTACGCCAACTCTTTCCCAAATTACGCAGTGACTACGGTTTGATACTGTTTGAAATTTCTCGCCATGCTGGTACGGACCTCTCTAAATGCCAATACCCGGAGCAAAACGATGCAAGATTGCCAGTCCTTGAGTGCTTTCTCATCCACAGCGTAATCACTTCGCAAGAATACCGTCTGCACTTGGAGAAACAGCGATTGGGAAGCTCATACATTTTCTAAGGGATGTGCCGTGGTTACTAGAGGCTGGTGAAGTACCGCTTCTTATCAGACTCGGTTTGCGCGCTGGGATAGGAAAATACGCCGTTTACTCATCTTAAGGCCTTACAAGCCAACTTTCATGCGGACAACCGCCTAGAGCTTCATCGTATGCTTGCAAAGTTGACACGCGATGTCGACATCAAAAAGGCAATATATCAGCTTAAGTTCCTGCTTGTTACAGCCTTGCTTGTCTCCATTACGCAGTAACTGCAAATACAAAATACCGCTCTTTTACCAGAAGTTTTGTCGCTTCCCGCTAGTGGAAAGCGCGCTTCGACGGGCAACCCTTCCTCATCTCTTTCAAAATAACAGTCGTACGCGTTCATGGCACCGGCTTCCGTAAGCCTTCTTGATTATGACGGTACACCGACTCTCCGAAAGTCGGCGTGCGAGCCTCGTCATTGCAGCATATGGCTTGAGGCGCCCACTGCTAATCAGAAATGCGTTGCAGCTCTGAAGCAGAATGTAGCTCAGCTACCAAGGATGTTATTGCTTTGTCTGCAAAGTGATCTTCACATCCGATGGGTTCATAAGAGCTTATTTGTGGTGTGGCTTCAGTAAGGTCTTGCAGAAAACCAATTGCGTTTGCACTTACTCTTGAAAATGCAAAATTCGACTTAATCCTTTTTCGCAGAGACTGTAAACGGTCCGATGTAGCGCGGTCTCAAATTGATCATTCAGACCAGAGATACTGAGTGTGAAGGTCATTCAATTATCCGTTAGCCCTCACCATTTTCGAATTTCTTCCGCCGGCATCTGATATTGGTGGATGTTTCGAATAATCGAGATGAAACCACTTATTTTGCAAAAAGCATAGCCGGGTTGATATTAGTAAGCCAAAGCCTCATCGTAACGGTGGAAAAGGCTTTCAAAGGATCACCACACCCGTTAGGTACATGTTTCAAGTCTATAGAAACATGTGGTGCATTATCCAGCGCAAGGTCGAAAAGGAGGGGGGTATCTTATTTTCTCTGATGCTAGTGCTCCGAGGAGGAGCAATTCACGCGTTCCGTCTGGCCATCGTTTTATAGAGATAGAGATTTGGTAGTTGATATATCAAATCTGCTGCTGGGAATTTTGCTCTCTTTTTAGTACTGTTTTCCAAAACATCGATCTGATAAGTGCCGACAATCCATAGAGATGAATCACTTTGATGGGAATCAATTTTGTTGTCTTCTTATCGGCAAGTTATCGCTGACAACAACCAAAAGACCCATCTTGCTTTGGCCTTTTACAAATACCACGATATCGGTATTACTGAACGCGTCATTTGAAAAAAAACAAATATCAGTCGATATTTATAAACTGCCAGCACTCTTCCAAAACTTGAAGTCTGGCCAATGGTGCCGCCGTATGCGGCGAGGGCCTGATCCGTTCACTCATTTTGCACGAGTTTCTATATGTACCTATCCGATTATACATGGAGGCCCATCAACACATAGAGCTCATCGAGCTGTATGACTTATCTTCTCCGGTGTGGTCACGGAAAGGAATATCATGTTCTTCGTACAGAATCTTGAGCGTGAGGTTCTATGATATTTTTCATGAAGCACCAATACACGCTGAGTGTCATTTGGGTCAGTGTCGGCAAGCGCAAGGGCATACTCCATTGCAAGTAGCGTCTTGTCTTGAACAAGATTATTCCTCTCGTCTTCTTTCCGATGGCAGGGACTCAGACTCGATCATTCATTTTTCCGGTGGGAATCAGCTTACGGTAAAGCGCAGCAGTTGCTAATAGCAAGGCGCTGGAAAAGTGCAATCGGCCATGCTGTTTTGCAGCATTTTGCTCACGAAAGTGACATCTGCGTCGGAATTGTAGGTGCATTGACCTTATTAGAAATATACTTCGTCGCGTGCTGTTAGCCTTTCTATTACACAACATTAATTTTGAGTGTGGAAAGTGAAATACTCTCACCAGACTTGCTTCATGCTGTGCACAAAAGAAAGCGTCAGTGACGTCATACTGTTTGCTTTGTAAGGGTCACTGCTATGTGACGCAATATTGAATTCCTTCAATTAAGTCAAATTCACGACACACTCCCCTATCCGAAGGTTACATGTGTAGTGGATATCTCGTCACCACTTTGTGGTTGTGTTACCCTTTGCTCACAGGATACATTAGATCGGTACCATGATGTTAGCAATCTACTTAGCTTTCTATAAGAGGCCTCAATAATAGATTGATCCACGACAAAAAAGTACATCCTCGGCATCACTTCCGGTACCAACCGTTTCACTGCAAAGACTGTCTTGAAATCCCCTCCAGATATCTTGACAGCTATATAAGAGCTTCTGCTAAATATAGTGAGGATAGCCGTACAATCTTCCGTCGCATATTTGTGGAGCTTCAGTTCCCCGTATGGTGGGCCCGCCACACGATAAGGCTGACTCAGAAGTACCGTCAAAATCTAAGAAATGACGTATTTGCCTACATATATTCAGGGACCAACCTTTTTACTTGCAAGCTACAGTCGCTCTTCAGCTCTACCAGCTCTTGCACGGCAGATTGCGATCGCCTAGCTTCTTCCACCTCCCTCCCGGCACTGATGCAGAGGGCAACATTCACACCATTTCCTTGCCATTCCGACATAGATCCATTCGATTGGATACGACGTACAGCCGTCCTTTCTCATTTTGACAGTTACACGCTTTGATGACCACGAAATATAATTACTTGTTTGCGTCTCATCCTGAGACCTCGGCTCACTTGAGCATTTGTCTTCCAAGCTCTGCTCAAATCACCTAGCAATATCGCTGCTTACAGTTTCGTTGAGTCCCATGTTTTGCAGAAAAGATTTTAAGCTTCGTGACCGCGCTAAGATCGCTTTCGTTCTTTAGCAGACGTGGGTACATGACACGTTATTTCTCCATAAGTAGAGAAGCGTGGTATCTAAAATTTGACTCCCAGCCTCTCCAAATACTTGTAGTATTCCAGCCAAATTGGTCAAATATACGATCGTATTTCGAATGTGAGTCCAGTGCTAGAAAACGTTCCACGCTGTCAAAATTCCTTAACTCAGTTGATGGTATAGATCTCAACTCTTCACTTGTGCTCCAATCGCAAGACGATTCATGTATATCGGATCCGTAGTTGGCATTCACAAAGCATTTGCGTAATAATTACTGATTTTGATAGTCTCGATTTCGACAGTCATGCGCCGTCCATAAATGCACAGCGCACCTAATCTATCGGGTCTTCTCACTGCTTCACAAGCTTGAGGATCATCCAATAACCCTGCTCTCTGAGCCTCACCTCTGCAGAATTATCCTACAAGCTTGATGTATGAACATCACCATTGTAGGATCATCTAAGCACTCTGATCTATAAGTCTCATCTCTGTTAAACTTTCGTTACTTTTGAGCTGGGTATCATTGACCACGATTCCCATAAGATTCAGTAGAGCCAATTCATTCACCAGTTCACACTGAGACGACATTTTCCCAAAGGATTTCGTCGTACACCCTTTCAAGAAGGCCCGACCTTTTGTACCTCACACTAAAAATGCATACAAGACGAAAAATGTATCATACTACGCACAGGCTTCATCTGCGATTACTGAAGAGTTGCTCAGAACAAAAGGATCTTTAGATACTAACTCAGCAGGACTGAAGGCCATTGCTGTGGAAGTGCTCATAAATCCTACATTCCCAGGACCCATCCTCGCGACGCTGTACTCCGCACTGAATGCAACGCGCATCGCACTCTCCACAGAGTAAAGTGACGCTGAATTTTTGCTTCGTCAAGATAGTAACCGTTATCGCCCCCGGGAGATGGTTTCAGTTTTTTGCGTGCGTTAGTGATTCTGTTTACCTCGATAGGCAGACTAAAACTTGTAATGCATCTGATACGCCTGGTTATGCCCTCGATAGCATCCACTACAGATGGTTCCACATTATGAGCGCTTTTTTGTAAAAGTACCACACGAAATTGCAAATTTTCGCGCGCAAACCCCTAAATTTGCGATCGCACACAACACGCTGTGGTTGCGATTAGAGCAAGATTAATTCCATGACCATCTCAATTCTTCCTTTCCATACGGGAAAATCTTGCAAAGCCTGAACGCTCAATATGGGCGGTGTTTGGATTGTTCGCTTTTACGTAACTAACACTGTTAGTTAGCTCTGCTAAGGCTAGAGTACATATAAATAGGATTATATATACTAGGACTTACACTGCATGAGATTTGTATTACGTTTTGTTATAAAAAAGTATCTCTTCAGTGGCGCGCGGCTAGCAACCGACCATCCTATTCGGGATTACGATTTCAGAAATACCAATATTTGTTTAGACTGCTGATACACTAAATTTTTTCTTAGGGTTCATTTAGTACAAAAATACTGTAGTTCAAGTACTTCAATTGCTAAAGTAAAGTACACACGATATATTGCAATAGCCTCCATCAGCACATTGGTTTGTGTGCCCTTCTGCAGCTTTAAATGACGGATTTGGGGATTATCAGATATTAAATTCCAGTGAAGTTGCAGGCTGGCATAGAATTTCTATACTAGATACAGCTGCGTGCCAGCGGCAACGACTTAAGAGTCATGAGGTATATGTTGTGGCTTAGTATTGTCTCACAGGAAAATGACACGCCAATTTTTATTGTAAATGTAACTGCTCATGAAGTCGATGTTTACCAGAGGAGCTCTTACGGCAAGGCAAGATTCTGATGACTGTGCACACGTAGTTTTCGAAACACCAAATACTACCCCATCGTTAGACTTAATATTACATATGTAACCGTATTTGTAAACCGCATGGGACATCAAAAGTATAATCAAAAAGTTAAAATAGATTGCCTTGGTTGGGGGTGCTGCTAAAAAGCTGATTATTTCAAAAAAATGCTTAATGCGACGATTGCACTGCTGCAGCTTTTTGTCTCGAACCTATTGCCTCGATGTTGTAATAAAGTCGACAGCGTTCATGAAAAAACAGTTTTCATCAACAAAATCCATATTTTCGTCGGATCGAGCCAGGGCGTGCGCACATGCGCTTGCCCAGATTGCTTGTGCCTAAAGAGCATGTTTTTTAAAGTCGACGCCAACATAATTATGGAAGTGACATGGTGTTTTCCACCATGACGTGTCATTTCCTTCGTGACCAAAGCCGTAATTTGAGCAACAAGGCACATCTCCTATCACAACCTCCAGCGGCGTCAATAACAGCAACTGAACTTTTCTTAGTCCGCATTCCAATAGAGCGGATTCCGCATCCGAGATATGAAGTAATTATTCGGGCAAGCGAGGAAAAGATACAGAGGTTCGTGTCTTCGACATTTTTAAGAAACGGAACGTCATTAGCGTTGGTGCACCAAACAAAGTCGTTTTTGGCAGGTAAATGGTGGATATGTGACGAGTTATAAAGTGATTGCACAGAAAATATTTTGTACACTTTTTGCAAACCGTTTGGAAGTCTTACCACATCAACCCTATACGTGCTAGATACACTTTGTCTGGCAGTGTGGCATAAAAACATGGCGCATGGTTAGACCATTGAAGAGAATCCTCTTGTATTGTCTTATCTTCTCTTTTCTTCTCTCCTCTACAGTCTGCATAGGGGGACATCCACTAACTTAAGTTTTGCAAACTATTCATATGTCGAAAAAGTATGAACTTCATGTTTCTATAGTACGGGTGCGAGAAAAAAAAGTATCGTTGTTGCAGCAATCCGACAAGTCAGATTTTCTCGAAGTTACATTATATCCAACAATTGCTTAAGCTCATACTGCGAGAAATCCACTGGATTTATGCATAGATAGTAATAATTTTTTTTTATCATAAATCATTTCTTTTCGCTTCTCAGGAGTAGCCAAACATTTGCACGTCTGAGAATGCGACCGTAATACAGACGCAACGACACATCAAGTTTGCATGTCAAATGAGTGTACTAGATGACGAACTCTCTGAATTCTCACAACTAGAACAATAGCGATGCACACCTTGTGATCTTTTTACAAGCCTGCCATAAATTTGCAAGCTCTCACTTGTAAATGCTCACATGTCCTGAACAGCTCAAATCCTCGTCAAATGCGATTGTTCAAATTGTGTCCTAGAGCGATAAAAGCTGCAATCCCCTGCAATCCCTGAGTTGTTGTGCAAAGTTGAGCGATACTAGCCATGATGTCACTATTATAGACTGCATCCTACTCATTCAATATAACTGTCGCAGGATGCGTGTCGCACTTTGGAACAATGTGGATTTGAGATCGTCAGTACATGCCGGAGCTTCTTTCGTAGAAATTTGCGGCAGTCTTCCTCCAGACGCACATTTATTGAAATTAATTATGAGCTTTCACAAGTTACTTGTCCGACAGGCTTGCAGATTTACAGTCAACACCTAATCGAACATCCTGATCTTGCTTGTATAGAGGCGCACAAGTCACAGCGACTTCTACACGTCGAAGTTCTTACGTCGGAATAGGGTCACTAGCCTTTGCTCACCCAAACTTTACTACATCGTGACAAGCCGTTGGTCACTTATTCCGACGTAAAGTGTTGAACGTGTCGCAGCGCAGCTTGTCTATATAAGTCCTTAAATGGCTTTGAGAGCGTGAAACGAGCCCAAACCTCAATTTATGAGCGTTTACTGACATACAGGTCACAATCGCACAGTAGTAATGGATATACAGCAGTGCCATCTTTTGCGTGTTGGGCTTGTGTAGTCCTTTGTATCCTGACTTACACTGTGCCATGCGTCGATTAAGTCCAACAAATTAAGCCAATCACCCACTTCCTCTCCAACAATGCCTGGGAGCAACCGGAAATGTGAAGCTTGATACAGAGCAGTGTCCATTGTGACGTTGAAGTCACCCATGACTATGGGTGCCATGGGGAACCTTGTAGAGGAGAAAAACAGAGTCGTTGTTGGTATGGATCAATTCGTTATGTTTGAGCGTTTACAGCCACGGTCCATTGAGCCGTCCATTTTCAAATCAACGTCTGTACGGATCGTCTCGTTGTGGCTGACGTTGTAGAGAACATTCATTGTCATCTATAAACCTTGCTGAAATAAGTCACGCTTATACTTATGAGCCTAATAAATGCAACAACCGGCAAAGTCTCGAGCTTGATCGAAGCTACATCCCGCTCTCTACGAGTTGCGCATGGCACCGCACATTCAGAAAACTTTCTTGGTGGAACGAAGGTGTAGATCTGTCTTGATTATACGATGTGCGCTGTCAGGGTAGTCTTGCCAGAAATGGATCTCAGCTTTCACGATTCTCAGCTCGAGAGTAGCTTTTTCATCTTACCAGATACTGGATTTGACCCTAAAATCCCTATAATCTGACTCATAAACGTTTAGCAACAAAGAGCTTAATGCAAAAAAACATATTGGTATGGCGAGCTGCTAGTATTTAGCTCTATTCTTTTGGTTTTGGTACAGCTCATCGGGACTCATTGCGCGATCGTCGAGGGCGTCAGTCGTGCGTCGGACTTCCTCACAGTTGTCTGCATTTGATCCAGACACCTCAAATTATTGAAGCCCGGAGGGTATGTACCATACTCCTGATCTCCTAATGGAATACAAACATAACCTCAGAGATGGGCTGACATACCCAAGTATTATCAGGATCCACCGTGATCAGTCTGAAAATGGGCGTATTGTTGAAAACAAAGTATCGCTCTTGTTGCTGCTCTATCATCTGCAATAAAGTAGCTATCTGTTGCTTCGAATTATAAGGAGTTCAATGTAGAGTGGGTGCAATTTACCTGGATGGCTGCATATAGTGATAGTAATGGGGGATTAGCTCATCATGCGTGTGGCGAACTCCGCTGAATTCGATCTGCGGATGATCCGCTGTGGTGCCCGGCGCCTTGATCAAAGTTTGCCATGATGTAGCTGTTCAGCGCAGGTTGCATTCCGAGGAATTTGACACAAGAAATCTATGGCCTCGAAATAAATTGTTGATAACGGATTGAAGTTTTTCTAAATGGCGATGAGTTTGCTGACAGCTGCAAACTGATCCAGTTTATACATGTTGGTCCACCAGTACAAAGTATCACTGAGCCAAACTTTCTTTCTCGACAGAGACAGTCATATAATGTGCCCTCTATTTTAATTCGATGTCCCCATTATGTGTCACGATCTCACGCAAGGTATTGAGTGGGTAAACAACAAGCTTTAATAAAGAAATACTGGTGGACCCGCGTTTCCAGACTTTGAGAAAGTGACACGAGAGCTTAGGAAATTTGTTTAATCCAAATCTTTTGGTAAAGCAACAACTGTCGTATCTGGCCCGTATGCTGTACCTATTGCCTCGTCTCGCGTCGAGTCAGAGTGCTCTAGAATAGATGCTAAGCCGCATTCAGTTTATCTTGTTACATATCTGCCAGATATATCGCTCTTTAATTTGAGCGTATCGAATTCTTAGCGCCTGAGAGATGTTAGTACCAGCGACATAAGAATGGGTTGATATCAATCTGTTAAAGATTTGCTAACACGGACTCTGAGTTTCAAAGCTTCCAGAGTGCAAGGTGCCACCGCAACCCGTGGCCAATATGGTATGTTGACGTCCTCGCTTCTGGCATTTGTCTGAAACGCTACGCTTAATATCCGCCGTCATACATGATTGTGTTGGTGAGAATTTACATTAGAGTAATATTCTCGTATGGGCATCACTCCGGGGCAACCAATCCAATGAGACTGATAACAATGAGCTGAATTTCAAATTTTACGATCAGATAGTCAATTGTAATATTCTGGATGATCTGTTTGATAATTTTGTTTTTGTTCCATGAAGACGCACATAAAGGGCGCTGTTCAGAAACAGTCCCCAAAATCACAAACATTTGTGCGACGAGGAAGTGATTCCCGGTGTGGAGCGAGAAGGACAGCCCCGACTTGGAGAGAAGTAGAACGATTCAAGACCTTGAAGGTAAATTTGCAACTGAATTGAAATGAATTATGGTTCATAGCTTCATGCGAAACACCCCAATGGTCTTTGAGGTTTTAGTGATGAAACCTTGGATGTCTGGGTTATAAATAAAGGGTAATCGAGGTTGTACCTCAGATTTAATTGATTCAAGATCTTGAGTGTACGGAGCTTGAACTTTGAAAGCTTGAACCTCAACTTTCGTGGAGAATATTCAGTAGAAGGGACTGGCAAACGTCACCCACGTTCGAAAGACAGAGACACGTCGGTCTCGTCGCCTGTACAGATCCCCAAGTACGAATCAGCATTCGGTATCACACAGACTGTTTGTGACTTCATATAAGAAATCACGTATGTATGTGGAAACACCATACAGAAATCTACTTTTATGAATTCCCACGATGCATACAGAAGATACCTAAATGTTCCTTCTTGTAATGGCTAAGTGTAGCCCATTACAGCAACTGACGGAGGCAAACGCCTAGAAATCAAGACATACAACAGAAACGCTACACACATGGCTCCATCGTTTTTATTCAAACAATTGGAGAAACTAGATTTCCAAAAAGAGAAAAGCACCACAAGAAAGTGAGAGCTACCGCAACTTCTACGAGAGAAGTCTGCACACATACAAATTTGAGTGGTAGACCAAAAACATTATAAAAATGTCAATGTGCTGCGTGAATTAGGCTTTTTTGCCCCGTATCTAATCTGCCATTAAGGACACATAGTGTTTTGGAGGATAGACGTATTGCAGATGGTAGTCGCCTTGGCATCTCGTCAAAATAAAGAGTCAATTGCGATGGAGCAATATGGATGGAACATTTTCACTCGCACTCGCATTTATCATCAATATCCTTGGTAAGTGAGCAAACTAACTTTCTATTCTGCGTACTGACTTTGACCAGGTAAATTGTGGCGGATCCAGTTGGGACTACCTTGTTTAGAGTCAACTAAGATAGGCATATTAACTATTGACGTGCATAGGAATATATGTGCATCTTCAAACGATTATTATCTCTTTAATATTGAATATTATTCACATAAAGACAATTTGCAGAAAATAACCACTCAGATACTTTTCCAAAGCTAAACTATGTTAGATTTATGACGCATGTTTTAAATATTTGATAATTGCACTTTTCGACCAAATTCTGATAGCATAGACTTTATTGCAAAAGGAATTGCTCTGTACAAGCATCAAATCGTCCATGTATCAGGAAGATCAATATGTCTATCGCTTTGCTTTCAAACAGCCCTTGCTTATAACATTCTCAATTCAAGCTCGCGCTGAGTTTGCATCCTTTGTTATTTTCAAATTAGTGGTTGATGCAACAATTTGCAAAGTAACCTTGAAAGTGCGAGTTTGCATCCTAATGTCTGAATTTGATGCAAGTTGCTAAACAGATTGACTCCATAACGCAAGAGCAAAATTACACACATTCTGTCATTTTTCAGAAGCTTGTGGAGCAATTTATATAAGCCGTATATTGTTTGTCATGTATGTTAAATATTAATTCCTTTTTCTTTTCACTTCAAAGCTTGAAGTTATGAGCAAATTGTCAAATCCACCCACGACACATTTTTCAGACATTTAATGTAAAGTTCGTTGCATTCATTTCTCGACAGGGTATTGAAACTCCATTAGCGATACCTAGTACAAAAATGTGTGGACATGCAATAGTTCTGGAGCTCAGTGTGATTGTTTTCAAATGCTCGACATTTTTCGTAATGCGTTATCGTCTAGGAATCTCGTACAGTCATCAAGCAGCAAGGTGACAGCTATAAATCCTGTGAAAAGTTTGATCAGCTTTCCCACAGCGCACAAAACTCATTTTTGGTTTTGTCGCTTGAACTAATCGACTCTCGACCAAGTTACTTTCCACGTAATCGGGCAATCATATGACCACCAAGTGCAGTCAAAAAAATTTCGAAAAATCTCATAGTATGTGACATGCTGTTTTTGTCAACCCTGTCAAACATGCTTCCCGGTCTATGGCGACGACAACTTGGCGTGCTGCGATGTCACGCCCAGCAACTCGACACAAGCATTCCATTAGCATATACCCGATGTCTTTCCTCAATTTTACCAAATATTGACGCTGACGCTGAGTTTGCATTAGGCGTTAAGTTTCTACTGGGTAAAGCCAAAGACGCTGGTGAAGTTGGCAGCCCCACGTCGGTAAACGGTGCTATCCTGCATTGGACAAACGCTGCGGAGAAAGGACATGTACGTGCTCAGGGTGCTCTAGGAAGTCTGTACCTCAAAGGCCACGCTGGTATACCACGAAATGTAAAGCTAGCTATGCAATTGTTGCAAAAAGCAGCCGACGCCGGTCACGATGGCAGCTGTCACGAGATTGGAAAGCTTTTTTATCATGGTCATGACAACATTCCGCGTGATTTAAAACGAGCGTTGCAATACTGGACTTTAGCAGCAGAAAATGGTCATATGGCGGCTAGCTACGACCTAGGCTATATGTACGCACAAGGGCTACATGTGACGCAGGACGATAAAAAAGCTGTGCAGCTTTACCGTCAGGCCGCAATCCAAGATATGCCTGAGGCTAATTGGATGCTGGGAAAAGCTTATTTAATTGGCCGCGGCGTTGAACAAAGTGCTGAAAAGGCAGTCAAATATTTCCGTCGTGCGGCAGAAGCTGGCAACGCGAACGCGCAGTTTGATCTGGGCGCTTGTTATATGCTTGGACGTGGTGTTGAGCAAGATCATACGAAAGCGGCGCAATACTTTTTTCTGGCTGCTGAAAGTAGCGTTCCTCAGGCACAATTGTGTCTGGCTCAATTATTTGAGAATGGAAACGGAGTTCAGGCCGACCATACCAAGGCCGTAGAGTATTATCAGTTGGCGGCGAAGGGTGGACTACAGGAAGCAAAACAGGCACTTGATCGTCTTGGCAACAAGCTCAGTAAAGACTGAGAACACAAATATAATTGAAATACCAAAATGATGCATAACGCACGTTGACAAATGATCATTCAAGTACAATGACACTTTAGCAGTTGATACATCGTCTAGTCAAGCTTTGCTGTATAACAAGCTTGTTGGTTTGGACTGAGTATCTCCACCACAGCAACTCTGCTAGGATCGCAATAACCCTACGTAGCATGAAAACCGAGTGTGAATCGAGCTGTGGCGCGAACGTCGCGATCAATTGTTTATCGAGAGGCTGATTTTTACAAACAAAAAGACGACAAACACGAAGTCAGAAATCTAAAAGATTTAAGCAGCAAATGTAGCTGCAAAGATACACGCACAGAGACAAAGCCACACCCGACGGTTGTGCTGCTAAGAGCCCGTGGCGTGTGGCTTACGCTTCTAGAACGAATTCCGCGACCCAGTACCTGGCTTTTTCTTTTGCTTTATTTCCGCCTCCGCCACACTGTGCAGCCGAATTACGCTTGGCTGATTCGGATTATACTTCTCAACACCCATCGACCAGTCATATGAAAGTGTGTAAGCAAAAATATCTCCGCGCGCGTTAAATTTGCCGGTCGTAATCGACTGGTTGCTAAATCACATGACAACGTGTCGGTATGTTGAGCTCTGAAACGTTCAAGCAATCTCTTAGACAGAAAATACCATTTGTTGAAGGTTTTAAGCTTCTGACGGGCATCTTTGTCCCAAAAGCAGAATGTGCCGTCCCCACCGGTGGTAGCAAATGTTCCAAATGGATGAAACGCAATGCTGCTTACTGGGTATATATCTGATCCGTCTCGATGGCACTTGAAGGCAAAGTCGTTTCTATTATTGCGGCAATTTGATTCACATAGTAGCATTACTATAGAGGCCTCAAGTGTTCGAAGGTATAAAGTACCTTTTGTCTTTGTCCTCGACATACTGAATGGAACAACGTCCTTCAACTGATCCAACAGCAAAGCCTGAAGCATCTGGAAAGCACGCAATTGTCCGCGTTTGAAATTTCAAATTTGACTGGATTGACTTGTAGATTTGCGATGGTTTTCTGATATCAACCACGTGAACCATTCGATCGGCTGTAGCCACAACAAGCAGAGGATGCCTCACATCCATGGCATAGCAGCGCTCCGAAAGCTGCACGGAGGCCATAGGTGTGGGTGAGCGTGTATCCCAGTACTTGAGAGTCTTATCCCAACTACCCGTGGCCACACAATTGGCCTCCTGAATGAAAGCGATGCTTCGAATTGGCGCATCATGCTAAACAATGTCATCGTCTAATATAAGCCTCAATATATTTCTTATAATCAATTTGAATAACCCACCGCAGCAATTTGCTGGCCCTGCGCAGGTCCGTTCAGTACCCACATCTTCGCTGTCTTGTCGCACGAGCCCGAGAATACTGTGCTGCCATCCTAATGAAAAGATTTAAAAGGCCATTAAGTGTAAGTTCTACCCACTTCGATAAATAGTAGCGACTGCAATTTTGCGCTCACCCCGCTGAAGGTGGTACAAAGCACAGGACCATCGTGTGCAATTTGTGCCTTGGCAACGGCATTGAACTGCATGCCCTGCTGCTGCACCTCCCAGCAACGAACATAGTTATCCCAGCTTCCAGATACTAATATGTTACTTGTGGGGCTCCATGCTAGATCTTGAATACCATCATTAATGGTCTCGCCTATGGTGTAGTCATTGTTCGGGTTGAGGTATCCACCTGCGGGCTGGCCGAAAGACATGGCTGTGTGGAATTACGTGGGTGGAAAGATAAACGATGCATAACCAATTTCATATTGTGCTAAATAGGATAAATGATACCGGTATCAGTGGTATGGTATGAGAGCAGAATGTAGTATTGATAATAATATTTTTTTATTTATTACCATGTATCATTCCTCTTATTACTTTCATCAATGCTTTAAGACATAAAGCAATATGGTAGAAGCTAAGCGCCAGAGCAAACGGACGCACTTGACGTTGCAGCAAAAAGGCAAGCTCCGCTCTTTTCTAATAGAAAATACAGGACTCGCACAATCGGATGTGGCGGAATGGGTCTTTGATCACTTTCATGTGCGTCTAGGGCGCACGACGCTTTACCGAATTCAGCATGCTCCTGAAGAAGCGTTCACGAGAGGAAATCTTGGTCATAAAAAGCAGCGGCGTGTCAAATTTCCAGTTTTTGAGAAACGTCTTCTAGAATTTTATGAGAAAAAGTGTGTGCAGAAGGAACACGTGACGGACGATGTGCTTCTGCGCCACGCAGCTGAATGTCGTGCTGCCTGTGGCATTGGCGAGTCAGAGCTCAAGCTTTCAAATGGATGGCTTTATCGTTTTAAAATTAGACATCAACTTACAGGAATTCCGCCGCAAACAAGACGACATGATGATAGTGAAATCACGGAGAACACATCAGTTGAGGTGCCACTGCTATCATCTGCACATGTGCCATCAATTGTTCACATTCCTGCTGGTAATAAGAATACAGGGGAAATTTTGTTAATGGCTCGATCTCTTACAACGCTGAAAGCACCGGGCTTTTTTAATTGGGAGCCTATGAGCAGAGTGCAACAGGGAAAAGTGCAGATTGTTACAGATGGTATATTAATGCTACAGGAAGGCGTTTACCAACTGAATGTGGACGTAAAACACAGCGCGTCGGGTTATGAAGTGCCAGTTTTCAGAATTTATTCTAATAATCGCGTTGTTGGACAATCCGTTACCACCACATTAATGCAAAATGACGTTGCAAGTAGTATCTGTGTCGACACCACCCTGCTCGTCAATTATCACGACGTGTTAAGAATTGAGTTTTTGGCGTCAGGGTTCGCGTTTACAGACAGCAGCCTCGTGCTACGACTAATTGACGCTAAATTGGATCTTTGATTGCAAAATCAAATCTCGCGCTTTAACATATGCCTGTTCGGGCACTGTGGACAATATTGCATACTATTGCCCTACTACATGCAGAACGGAGTAAAAAGATTCTTACAAGATTTTCAAGCAGCAGCTGTGATCTTGAACACGACGGCAGTAATAAAAATTTTTGACGACTGCATTTTCCAAGTCCTCAATCTTGTCGATATTGCTGACTTCATCGTTGCACATACGGTGGCGAACAGTCTTTGAAGTTAGTTTTTTCATTAATCTCAAACATATTGCCTTGTTAAAGGCCAACCATGCGAAGCCAATTGTTGAGCATCTCGCGGACGTAGCATATCCTTTTTGCAGATTCAAAATGTGCCAACGCATGCGCATTTTGAATCGCAAAAAAAAATCAAACTTCATCTAGATTTTCGATTTTTGAATTTCAACTCTGACAATTTTTATTACGTGCCGATATATAAGTTATCACGACTAACGCAATCTTCGCAATTATTGTTTTAATCTCATCTAGATTTCGATTTTTGGATTTCATCTCTGACAAATTTTATTTTGTGCCGATATATAAGTTACCACGACTAACGCAATATCTTCAAAATCTCCTCGATATGTATAAAGAGTTTCGCGTCAACATTAGCAACGCGCAAGCTTTAAAGGTTCTGCATGGAATGGCGGCTCGAAAAACGCATGCACAGTTTAATGATAGCCACGATCCCAATTTTTGGCCCGAGACTCATATGAAACTTTTGAGAGCATATACATCCAGAAGGAACGTCTTTACGGCAAAATTTTTCATGCACGTCAGTCTGGATTAGTGGCTTTTAAAGAATTTTTTAATTGTATCGCTTGTAAGTAATACGCTTGTCGATTGCTTATCGGGTGCTTCACCAGCTGTCTCACACCACCTTTGGTAGTGCTGATGCATGATAGCTATCCCAACGCAAAATTCGCCTTGCGTTTCGGCGTGTACAATTCATTTAATCCCGGATCCTTGAGATCATTGACATAGTTGACATTGCTCTCATTGATAGCGATTGTCATTGAATCATAGATAGGCGTTGGGAAGAAGGATTTTGGTTTGGAGTTTGAAAACTCCTTCAAGTATGTGTAGAATTTGTTCATTCCATTCTTATTCTTGGTCGCATCATCACTCAACTTACCATAATAAAATTGTTGTGCTGTTCCTCTGGATTGAAATCAAAAACTGCCATATTATGCTTGACGATGCCGATCAAGTTGTAAGAAGCACAAATAAGTTCAGCGATATTGCCATGCCCTTCTTGGTAAATGCTTCTGCACGGATTCGGTGATTGCTGATTTACTCAATCAAGACGGTTACAAAATGAGCGCTTATCACTACCAATCTCCTCACACCAGCACAATTTTGCAATATCTAGCGACCCACGCTCTTCAATCACATTGCTGAGTTGCTGAGTCATATGAGTATCTTTCGCTCGCAGAAGACTCACTAGGAGCCTGAAAAGTTCGACTTGCAAATCTTCTTCTCCATCAAATAGAATGCGAGCATAGCTTTTGTCTTACTATCTGATGTAATGGGCTACACTTAACCATTACATGAAGGTACCTTCTGTTTGCGTTGTGGGAACTTATAAGAATGTCAAAATCAGCAGCAATTTCTTTTAGTTTACCTTTGGTCGATGATATTTTATACCGCAAATCAAACAATCAAATCAAACATCAAATCATTTGGCAACAAATTCCTTGTTGAAACGCTCTACTTTTGTTTGAGCACATAGAGATAGATTTAATACCAATCAGAATGTGGTTAACGAGCAAGGAATCCTGCGATTTTCTACTCGTTATGGGTTTTGAGGACCAACCAATTCGAACCATCATGCGTAACTTATGCAGTCGCTCTTCGTAAGAGATAGTTGCAATGAAGTTTTCTACACCGCATGTAACGTTTGTTTGTTCAGATGACTCACGGTCTGCACTGGACTTAAGAAAGGTTCCACTATCTCCAATTCATCCAGATATTGCAAACGATACGTATATCCATCGTTTTCAAAGCCAGGTATCATCACTGTGCTTGTAATCGATGGAACCACCTACTGCTCGCATCTCCAAATTGATCAAATCGGTGCGAGTACGCGTGAGATCCCCAACTTCAAATGCTTTCAAACTGTTACCGCTGTGGAGATGAGAGTGCTGTTGTCGTGTAGTATATACATAGGGGGTAGGGTATAGTAGAGAAAGAAGAAAAAGAAAGTGCTGAGGATTGGGAACTCGGTCCCGCATTGTGTGTAATACCTCGATGATCACAATTGTTGATACTACGTCGCTTCAGCGACATGGAACCGGTTCAAATCGCGGATTGGAATATCACACACTACTGTATTATGTATGATAACTAGTCGTAAGCTGCAAATCTTGCCAAAGTGGAGCCATAAACTCTCACGGGTTTCCTAAGCGAGATTTTACAGCTCACCAGATAATGTTAATAGCCTTGATGAATTCGCCCGTCTACCACTCGCTCCACGTTTAAATGGACCACCCTTCGTTGATTTAGTGTGTCTACGTAGGGCAGCTCTTTCGAGGCTAGCTCTCGTTTTTTCGAGGTCGTGGTGACATGTTAGCCCTCAACGAGAGTATTTCTAGCGTCCGAATTTCAGGCCAGTCAAATCTCGGATTTGTCTATGCTTAAACATCGCATACCTACTCTCGGCAGCTCGAAAACATTTTTTCGAGCAGAGAGTAATATTGATCCAGGGACATTACTTTGTCTACAACAGCGCTCTTCACATCTGAGTGGTCCCTAAGATCGGGATTGTGTATAGTTTTAGCAAGCCCACGCAGAATAGAGAGCATGCAGATTCGTAATACCATTGCCCAACGCAGGCAAAATGCTTATGACGATGTAATGAAAAAAAATATTGAATTCTGCTACACTAAACCAATAATTAGTGTATTTAAATATATGCGCCTACCCTGTATCAAGCCGTTCACGGTCATAGAGCCTCACGGAATACCATTCACGACGCGAATCACACTTTCCGTTTGGCCATGTACTTGCGATCGGCCACTTCTTAGCATATCCAGTCTTGTCTCAAGCACATTGAATAATTTCTAAAATATTGCTGAAAAGCGGATCTCTATCCATTACAATGACTATTGGCAAGCTGTGTCGTCGAAACACTATGTCGGTAAACAGCTCGACCGTACAATCACCGATAAATTATCGCTGGCAGCAGCAAGCTAAGCCATCTTGCTCGGACGTTCACTATGAACACGATACAGTTATTGCTGAACACTCATTGGAAAGACCCAATATGATAATACTCATGGACTCCCAACACTCTGCCGAGGCATGCAGACTAGTCAAAGGCGCTACTGCAAACGGTGAGGTTCACACGCGCGTATACGCACTAATATATGTTAAGCTATCAACACAGCGATCACTGAGCATCATGTCTTACAGTTCCGAGGTGGCCTATTAAAAGGTTATGTGCTTCGTGTGGTATTAGTCCTCCTCATCATCATATGGTAGTGCAGTATACTTAATGTCAAATGGGTCAGAGCGCCATGCTGCTAACCTTAGGATTAGGTATAGCTGTGCAGTTATGTAACCGCACTCGTTGATAAAGCGGCGTCGAAGAGCCTATATATTGCTTTATTAAAAAGTTTTCGCTATCAAAAGCTTTAAGTAGCGCGAAACTGCCTGTTTGCGGAACGTACCGCCTAATCAATTGTTGATGTCGTCGTTGTTCATATTGCAATTCACTAAGGGTGACACGAAAGCATAATCTCACCAGAAAAAGCCAAACCTGTTCACATCTTACCTCAAAGACAGACTTGGTGATAAAGGATAACCACTGGCACAATGCAAGTCTACCTTTGAGGTAAAATGTAAACGGGATTGGCATTTTTCTGGTTAGGATACAGATCATGCGTCGCTGCGCTCAGCAACGCATTCCTTGTATCGATTATAATGGCTTATCGCCAAGTAAAAGCACCCTGAACTTGATGAGGGGGTACATCATCGCAATAGCTCGTTGTCATAGGTAATGTAGGTTTACATAGCAACTGACAAGACCCAAAAGAGATCGTGCGTTCATACATATTGTGCTTCTGCTGCGAAACCTTCTTTATGGGTAAAGTGTCACAAATGACATGGTATAGCCATTTTGAAGTCTAAAATCACTAGCGGTGAAGCACGCTTGAGAAAACATTCTAGCTCAATTTTTCTTCTGTTTAAGGAGAATGGTAAAGCTCGCGACATTTCGACATAGATTGCACTGTGCGTATGCAAACAATTAACCAGGCTGCTTTCTCAATTTCTTCTGGTTCAGATAACTGTCTAAGCTACAATGACGCGCGCTCGCAAATGTTGCTTCCTAATGAGCAAATTAGAAAAAAACTTAGTCAGTGACTCGCTTGTCTATAATGGTTGATAGCTCATCTTGAGCGCATAAACCTAAGCACTGCTTGCGAGTTTCAAGTGTGGTTCGCCAAATCCAACGTCCCTTTTTCTGCACGACTATGGACGTAAATATCGTCGATACAGGTTTATGCATAGCCGCAATATGGCTTAAACTGCTGTGTTACCAGACGGTAAAATACCGCTCATTCAATGAACGGTCTCAATGAAATGCGCCCCGCTCAGAATGCTCACTGCTGACACAGCTGTGCCATCCTATCGAGGTAAAGATGCATCGACTTCATAGTCACCTTTCAACTCCACGCCTCTGGCACAAAATTACACACACACACACTCAGTCTTTTTCGCTTCTTACCGGTACTAGTACAGAAGGCAACAGCCCACCGATCATCATTACCGCCTGAAAGAGATACCCAAAAAGAAATACCTTCAGAGGGGCGCAATATGTAGTCGTCCTTTCCGTCACAACACAGATAAACTTAGTAGATCGCGACTGCAAATCGCTCTCTTGTGTCTTACTATAAGACCTCAGCTAGCTGCCACTTCTACCTCTAAGCTCTGCTTGGGATACCTAGCAACACCATTGCTATCAGTTTGGACAATCCCATGTTCTGCCCCGATTGTATTGCACCTGTGTGACCGCTCCGAACGCTTCTGCTTCTGAAAGGCGAACTTCATGTCTTGCCAATTTCCTCCATGAGTGAAGAACTCAGTTCTTATATGTTTGATAAAACGCCTATCCATGGCTCGTAAAGATTCCAGCAAGTTAATTCCTAGGATGACTTCGTATCTCAGAACCAGTCCAGGACTAGACAGTGTTTCACGTCGCCAATGTCATCAAACTTCACTTAGAGGTTACGTCAGAAACATCCAGATCTTTTCGCGGCTATTCAAAGCCCGGGTGGTAATATTTACAACCAACAACTTTAGGATATAAGCCTTTAATCACTACGAGGAATTTTCTTCGGTCAGAGCTGGACATTACTAACCATGCCCTCCACAAGGGACAATAGAACCCAGTTCTGTTACAGAAAATTTAGGCGGCCTACTGGGATCGACCTCTTTCCGTGAGGGTGCGCCCGACGATCAAGCCATGGGCCAGACGCTTTGTTTCTTTCAGCAGGTAAAAAGAAGGCGCAGATGTTTTGAGCTTCCCCAGACAAACCATCTGCGAGTGCCTTGGAGCTTCTCCACAGTAGCTGAGAAATCCATCTCTTTCACTTCAGCTTTGCTGTTGCCCAGGACCTCTCGCGCGCTCGTAGCGTTTCCAATTTTTCATACTCGTCCGTCTCTCACGGCATGGAAGATGTACAATACATCTTATGTGACGCTTATTGTATCCTCGTAAGAGAAAGACTGGGCGATAAAGGTATCATTGCAAGCCGCATCCATAGAAGATTCTTTTTGGGGATGGTTTCTGCCCCCACCATGAGAAAGACTGACGCCATTGCGGTGAAGGAGCTTTCAGCTCCTGGACATAATTCTGTCAATCCTCACCTTCTTTGACAGGTGGACAAGAATTCAGACAGACACCCGATACGCCTAGATCTGCGGCTAGAGCAACTGTGACATTTGACGTTGTACATCTTCCCGTGTTGTGAACGCCTCTCTTAACAATGATACGCACGTCATTGCCCGTTATCACCCGTGGCCTCCTACCGTGACTACCACGATCACGATGCCCGTGTTGCTCGGTTCAGAGCATGACAAAATTTATCATCATCTAAAGTTCCCTTAAAGAGAGAGGCGTTCTGCGTCCCGGCTCCAAAACTTTAGCGGTCTTTTATGCGCTTTCTATGCTACCTCGTTGGGGCCGGCGGGATCGCTGCTGGGTGAGCTTGTCCAAGCGACCGATTACCGCATTAGGCCCATTTGCCGCCAGTGCTCTAATCCAGAAGGGACTAACGATAGACATAAGCTTACTGAGCTAACACGGGACAGATTTTATATCATTTTATGATCCTTCCCACAGAGGGTACATTCTTATCACGACCTTGTCGTGGAATAAACTGCGTGTAATACCAAGTGCAACGTGGCTACCATGTATCTTCGAGAATCCTCCAGCTCTCAGAGATCAGGTTAGCAATTGCAAATATATTAAACTCGTGTGCTTCTACAGAAAAGGGGATCGCGGGTCTCTGAGATAACTATCACTGTTAAATGGCTTTGTTATTTCAAAGTACACATGTATAGGGAAAATGCTACTTAGATAAGTAACACTAAGTAGTACCTTTTCTTATAAATAAACTGGCTTTTTTTTCTGACGTGCGGCTAGCCGCCCACACACCCTTTCTTCTGGACAACAGATTGGGATAAGTATTTGACAACGGTGTTTTTAATGCTTACAAGCCCGTATAAGTGTGCATGTACAATATTACCACACTTAATTATGTGCGGCTCTGAGTTTTCTTAAGTGTCAATACGGAGATGATGCGACTCCGTAAAGGAGAGATTCGTTGACATGTTAGATGTTTGCCTTCCGAAAAGCAATTAAGACACTTTTATTATTGAATATGGCTAAACGTAGAGATTTAGTATCAGAGCCAAAGAAATTATGCATTTCTTGTAATAGCGGAGCAATCTATGTGATTGGTTACTTATAAGGCTTTCGCTTTCCTTCAGGAGTAGAGCACACGAAATCAGCGTCTGTGTATTTGTTGACGCCGACTCTTGAAGTCGGAGCTTCTTCTGCGAATGGTGTGCGGTTACCTGTCGCAGAGCACCATCACTCCAATCTCGTTGAAGCACATGTGATTCTCACACTATATACGAAGAACCATAGCGACTTGTGTACGTACTTCATTACAAGCTGCACGCCTCGATATACCATGTTCCCCTTATATTTTTTATTTTACGTGCATGCTGCTTTTTGGCAGTTGGTGTCATTTCTTTCTCAAAAATCTATCAATCAACATTTTTCAAACAGAGAGGTCATCGTGGCGTCCGTCCGTTCAACGGATCTTGAGAGAATTGGCTGACTGTTTTCCCCGAAATGAGTAATCGTAGGTTCAAGTGTACTTTATGCGCATAATGTAATCTTTTGAGTTTTGACCTAAGCTATCATTGCAAATAAACTCTACCAAGCGTAAGGCATATGCGATCTGATTTTTGGACCAGAGGCCTGTTTGCACCTCATCTAGACCATCTCATTGTTTTTAATAAGACAGACATTATGATTTTGTAATACGAGCCGCCACTATGGTAGAGGACACTACGATATCTGCGCCGCGAATTACAGCTACTGTAGGCATCAACCCGCACAGTTAAATAAGCTTATTAAAAAGCGTGCTAACATCAGTGCGGCATGCATAGCTTATGTTATCTAGATTTATAAATTCTGGTTAGACTATATTACAATGTACAGTTTTGATTAATTTTTGCTAATAGCACGAAAAACATTTTAATACCAAATATTCTATGGCATATTGTACTTTGTTCGAAATGTAAGCTAAATATCAAAGTGCTATTTATCAAAGAAAATGTTCATGAATTCTTATGCCTTCTAGATTGCAATCTGATAACCTGTGTTCTGAATCAAAAGAGCAATAGTAAGCCACGACGCTGTGTTTTGACACGAAAATACTGTATATCACCTTTAAAGCTCTCCGTAAATATTCTGATAAAAATTGGCTTCTACTTTTTACCTTTGTCGCAAAAGCAATCTATATACTAAGCAATAATCAAAGTAATCGATCATATTGTTTTGATCGCTAATGTGTTATGCGTGGGATCTGGAGATAGATTGTTGAGCTGGTGTGTCGAGTAGGAAATAATCTGTGAATTGAAAATATTTATACTTGGCTCGCTACTTTGTGCAGCATCTAAGCCTATCCTTCTGGGCTCCTAGAAGCTTAGAAGCGTCTTAATGACGTCACCCTTACCGGTATTAATCGTAACCATAGACCCGTAATCATGTAACACCTTCAACCTTGTTTTTATGCATTCGGTAGCGGGATCATATATGGTGCAATACAACTGCTATTCTCACGACATTAGGTTTTTTCATCAAGAATATGGTTTAGTAAACACGAAATGTTATGATTTTGTTCTCATTCCACCTTGTATGTTTCAAGAAGCTGAGCGCTTCATTGAAAAAATAGTTAGATGTTTCCATGGTTTCATAATCTGAATTAAAACTTAAAGTTGATACTTTGCCGTACTTATCTATCCCATTTATGGCTTAGTGATTTATCTCATCCCGTAATAACCACCGTTTTTACATACATCCCAACTAATGCTCGAATAGATTCAATAAAGCTGCTATTTCGAATGATTGACAAAATGATGTACTTCCTCTGTCCGAAAATATAAGCGGTGCTGCGGGGATTGACCAATATTAAGC